GCCCCTTGTAGAGTGAATTGGGCTGGGGGATTAGGTGGGTGAGCTTCACGGTTGTAGTTTGTTTTGGGTTGGTGATGGTGGTGTGGGTTTATGGGGTTGTTGTGGGTCACCAAGGGAGGGCAATGTTTCCTTCTAGCCATTGGTCTCATACTTTATGGAATGAATTTGGGGTGTCATGTATTTGCGCTGTTAGCTTGTGGACCAAGCTTCTGCTATTGCTCTGCGTGTGGCTAAGGCTATTCTAGCAATGAGTTTGTTTTCGTTGTGGGTGAAAGTGTCGATGGGTTTAGAGAGTAGGAGGGCCCAAGGGTCTAAAGGGACTGGTTTGTTAAGTATTCTGGTTAGGAGTGTTGTTATTGTTTTCCACAGGGGAGTGAGTTTGGGGCAGGTCCACCAGCAGTGGAGGAATGTGCCGTTTTCGCCACACAGTTTCCAGCAGAGGTTAGTGGGGATTCGTTTCATTGCCTTTAGGCGGAGGGGGGTGATAGCCCATCTATAGAGCATTCTACCATCTAAAGAGCATGTATGGTAGGGCTACCTGAGTGTGATATTTGGTTAGTGTTGTATATAGGTTTGATATTTGGCTCTTTCTGGATGGTGAGTGAAGGGTGCCCCTCTTGAACCCAGTCAGGGTCGAGGTGGCTGCCATGCATACCGTGTCCGTTGCTGCGAAGCTTTGGAGTTGGAGGTATCGAAAATAGTCGTAGGTGGTTAAGGAGTCGAAGTTGGGGATATCTGTGTATTGTAGGAGCTTGCTGTTGGGGTAGAGATGTCCTAGTCTAACTATGTCTCTGTCTTCAAAGTGGGCATAGTGTTGTGGTGTGAGGCCCGGTGGGAACATTTTGTTGAGGAGAATTGGGGTTAGGGGCGATAGGCCAGTGGATAGGTCGAATTTGTCACTAAGGCGATCCCAGAGGTCCAGGGAGTGGGTGATTGTTGGGGAAGTGGGAGGCGGTAATAGTCTGTGCTGTTTTGTGAGCCACATGTATTAAGAGGGGTGGTCCCGGCCAAAGATGAGGTGTTCTAAGTATACCCACCGTTTGTGGGGGGGAGATGCAATTAACACAATTGGTTTTGTGTTAGGTGGGCTGCATATAGATAGTGTGTGAGGTTGGGGAGGCCTCCGCAGGGCTTTTGTACGTATAGGGTGGATCTGCCGACTCTGGGTTTCCTTCCATTTCAGATGAATCGGTCTATTGTTGTTTGCAAGAGTTTGAGGTTGGATTTTTTGCAGGGGATGAGTAATGCTTGGAAGGCATAGAGGAATTTGGGTAGGAGATTCATTTTGACCGAGGCTATTCTTCCGAGCCAGGAGATGGTCATGGGTTTCCAGCGTTCGAGGTCTAGGAATGCTTTATGTAAGAGAGGGGGGTAGTTGGCAGTGTAAAGGGTGGTGGTATCGTTGGTAATTTGGATGCCTAGGTATGTGATTGTCATTGGGCAGATACGGAAGGGGAATAGACGTTTCAGGGCGTTAATGGTGGGTTCATTGAGATTGAGTGGCATTAGGTCTGATTTTGTGGCATTTAGTTGGTATCCCGAGATCATTGAGTAGTCTTGTAGGGTGGACAGGAGGGAAGTTAAGGATGGGATAGGGTTGGTTAGGGTTAGTAAGATGTCGTCTGCATATGCAGCGACGGAGAATGTTCCATCTCTGACGTGGAGTCCTTCGATTTGTGGGTTTTGTATGGTCTCCAGAAGGGGTTCGAGGGAAATGGCAAATAAGAGGGGGGAGAGGAGGCATCCTTGACAGGTGCCGTTTAGTATAGGGAAGGAGGGGGGATAATGTTGGGGATTAGTAGTTGTGCGGTTGGCATGTGGTACATTGCTTGTAGAAATTGAATAAGTTCAGGTGGGAATTCAAATTTGCGGAGCACTGCGAAGAGGAAGGGCCATAGGAGGCGGTCAAGTATTGAGAGTATTGTTGTTGGGAGGCGTTTATGGTTGGCGTACCATATTAAGTCTATGGTTCTGCGTGTGTTGTCTTGTGCTTGTCTTTGTGGGATAAAGCCTACCTGGTCTGGGTTGATGAGTTTCGTTAGGAGGGGGTTTAGTCTAGTTGTCATTACTTTGGTCAGAATTTTTAAGTCAATGTTCAGGAGGGAGATGGGGCAGTAGTGACCTGGTTCGTCGTGGAATTTTCCTGGTTTTGGCAGGAGGGTGATGTTAGCTTGAGTCATATCGGGGAGTAGTGGGTCGCCTTTGAGCATTGTGTTGAAGACTTTGCATAGTCTGGGGGTGAGTAGGTCTCCAAAGGATTTGTAGTAGATGGCCGTTAGGCCATCAGGGCCAGGGCTTTTATTGGGTTTCAAGGTCTTTATTGCTGCCAGTAGTTCCTCTGGGGAAATATCAGCTGAAATTAGTGCTCTGGCTTCGTTAGTGAGGGAGAGTTTCCGGAGGAAGTTTTCGGTTTGGGTTCGGATTAAGTCTATGTGGGGGGTCTGGAGTGTGGTTGTATAGGGATGTGAAGTATTGTTGGAAAGTTTCTCCGATCGTGTGTGGGATGTCGCTCATTGTCCCATCTGAGGTGCGAATTTTGGAGATTTGTTTTGTTTCAGTCAGGTTTTTGAGACGTTTTGCTAAAATGTAGTCTGCCTTGTTACCTTTCTCGTACTATTTTTGTTTGGTCCATGTGAGTGCTTTGGCCGTGGCTGATAGAGAAAGGCTCTTGAGTAGTGACCTGGCTGTACTACAATTTCTTTTAATGCGCATGTATTGGCTTTTGGGTATATTCTTAATCCAACCTTGGTGATGTGCACTTGTAGCATCCAAAAAACCATTACAATCAACCGTTTTCCAATGATTACCAGTTTGGAGGGTTTGATTGTCATCCACAAAGATATTGAGCTCTAGAAACGCGATATTGGTGGTGCTTACTTCATGAGTACATTTCAAATTCATGAAGTTGGAGTTGGTGTACTGTACAAATCTGGGTAGATCTTCTTCATTACCTCGCCATATTATTATAATGTCGTCAATGAAGCGTTTGTAGAATATTAATTGGTCTTCAAATGGATTATTATTCCAGATGTACTGGTGTTCCCACCATCCCATGGTAAGGTTCGCATATGATGGTGCTAATTTCGTCCCCATCGCTGTTCCGGTAGTTTGTAGGTAATACTGATTACCGAAAAGAAAGTAATTGTGCTCTAGAACAAAGCTGATGCTCCTGATAAGAAATTTTTGTTGATCCGTGTTAACTTCATTGAATAATTCTAAAAAGTATTGAACTGCTCTTTTACCCACATAATGGGGGATGTTTGTATATAAGGCAGTGACATCAAGGCAGTCGCATGTCCAAATTATGTTGTAAGAGGTGGGTCGTGTCTCTGAGATATGAATCTAAATGGGTTACCATATGTTGGAGGTAAAAGTCGACATATGCTGACAGATTGCTTGTTAATGAATCTATTCCAGAAATAATAGGTCTGCCCGGTCGTGGTTTCTTATGGATTTTTGGAAGATGGTAAAAAATTGCTGATACCGGGTTTTCCTGATACAGGAAGCTGAACTCCTCCTGAGTGATAATTTCTTTATCTCTTTCTCCTAAGTGTAGTGTAAGGAGTTTCTTCTTAAATTCTGAAGTCGGATCTTTATTAAGTTTCTGGTAGATGGTAGAGTCATCAAGCAGTCTAAATGCCTCCTTCTTATAGTCTTCTATATTTTGTATGACGATGCCTCCTCCTTTATCCGCCTCCCTTATTTGTATGGTATCATTCTTCTGTAAATTCGTTAGTGCTTCTGTTTGATTATTTGTCTATCTACTCCTTTCTGTTTGATTATTTGTCTATCTACTCCTTTCTGTTTGATTATTTGTCTATCTACTCCTGTTTGATTATATGTCTATCTACTCCTTTCCAAATTGCTTAATTAATTTAGTGCACGCTTCTTTAGAGTAATTCACACCGGACACAAGTTGCTGGTCAATAAAAGACTATAGGAATGCTTTATTCCAAGGGATGGGACCCCCTTTTAAAGCATAAATACGTCATGTACAGAATCACAGTTAACATAAAGTATACATTCAACAATTGGTTAACAGTCTAAGGGGTCTTGTCTAAACCCACCCTACTGGTGACCCCAGCATCATCACATGACATTTCTTTGTATCCCAGCCCCATTCCAGCTCCATTTCACTACACGTGGCATGTTTCTAGAGAGAGACGTTACTTGAACAAAGGAAGCGGGGGAGGGGTTAGTAGGGGAGCAGCTTCTCCATTTTGTTACACGAGGCTTTGCTTAATAGGAAGGGGGGGGGGAGTGAGAGCGGTTTACAGAGGAAATGGTTATTGTGCACACAGTGAGGGGGAAGGGAAGCTTTACTCTAGCAGCCAGACACACAGATAAAATAGACATTTTATATATTCAAGTATTTTGTCCATAACACTTCTTTCTCTTTTCTTGTCAAATTAGACTTGCAGTATTTTCTTTTGGCACATAAAGCCTTGATATCCTTTAGTACCAAATCTGTGTATACACTAATAAATTCATCTTGTTTATTGCTGGGATAAAATGCAGATATTGGTCTAAATTGGGAGTGGATGACTTTGTGCGGTGCTCCCGATGTTTCTTCCTTCGACTGTAGGGACTCTAATAAGCGTATACCTTGTATGTCTCTAGTGGATAAGTCACTGGAGTATCCTCACGGTGTATTCCTCTCTGGTGGCTTGGTACATAGATATTTGGGTTTGTTAAATAACCTATGGAGTGTAAGCTGGTGGACGAATTTCTGTACATCAGTAAAAATCGAAAAATGGTTGGGTGGTTGTGTAGGTGCAAATTTTTGTCGAGACTTGCATTTTTCCTGCTGGACTCTGTTTCCTGCTCTGTTTCCTCACTTGGTAGGTTTCTTTTTATAGTTGATCTTTGGTAATTGAATTGTCACGGTTCCATATTGTCTCCATGGTCCTTTGGATCCCCTGTTCTGGATCCAGTCCATAGTGACTTTTTGGGCGCCTCCCTAAAAAGGTGATGTATTCTGGTTTAGAGATTCAGAATTATTATACTGTATCTCCTTTTCTTTCTCCTTCTTTGTCTTTGGGGATAGCCCCTTCTTGTGAGAAATTCCATGTAATGTATTTCTCCTTTTCTTTCATCGTGTGGTGGTTGTAGTTTCTGATCCCTTTCCTGGGGGTTCTTTGGAATCTTTGGGTAGTCTGATCTCTATCATATTGTTTGTTAGAATACATCCTTTGGTGCTTCCGTAGATCCTTCTGTTTCCGTTGTTGTAGATCCTTCTCTAGTTTCTCCATCCTGACCATCACTTTATTCTTAATTTCAATACTCCAAGTGTCATCTTTATATTGTTCCAGTATTTCCTGTAACTCTTCAATTTTTTTCTGTTAGAGTGTGATCTTATTCTCTCTATATTTAATCAAAATCTTTACAAATGTTTTCGAACACAATTCAAGGGCTTCCTCTCATTCCGTCTGGTATCCCACTTTATCAAGCATAAAGATAGAGTTTCTTTGGAGTCTGAGAGACCCCTAGGTACCATATTGTTCTTCTCATATTTTTCTAATTAAATTAAATCATACCAATTTTTTTGTTTCTTTTATGTAGTTCTTTTCTAGTTCCTTAAATAAAAAAATCTGGTGTCCATATTTGTGAGTTGTGGTTTTTCATTTGATCATTGTTGAATAGATCTCTTGATCTATTGTTTCTGCCTGCATATTCTGCAAATGTATTTGCCATAATGAGAGTAGACTCATCGCTGCTGTTTTAGAGGGGATCCAAATGGGGAAAAAGTGTAGTAAATACCAAGAGAGTAGGAGCTTCTCTGGTAAACGTATAAACTGCACAAACAAATATACTCCCAGTAATGGAATGAATGATAATACAGAATAATATGATTCAGTAGAGAATATATTTCACTTAATACAGGGTGTGTCTATAAGGTGCTTTAGATGGTCCTCCTTTAAGAGAAAGTATCCCTACACTTTCTTTAAAAGGCAAAAAGTATAATAGAAATGTCTAAGAAGCGCAAAAAATACAATCTAGTCTCTTATAAGTAATAAACATATTAAACATTTATTAAATCTTATTGAAATCTAAAAATATAAAATCACAATGGCAAAAAAACACTATTGGATAGTACTGGTGCTATATTGAGTGTGCACACTACTAAATAATATATATAAAAAAAAATAAAAATATATACATATATTAAAAATGTAAAAATATATAGTGAGTAAAAATGTAGCATACAAAATTTTGTTAAAAAGTATAAAAAATAAAAATGCAAAAAGAACCAGAGTGATGCAAAAAGGAGTCCAACCTTATATAGTAGCTGACAGCATTAGGTCTTCCCTGCCGGCTGATGGGACATCGGCGTTGGATTCAGGTAAGTTACTGGATGGGGGTGGGAGGGATTCTGCAGTGCCAGGAAAATGAATTTGCTTTCATGGCACTGGAGAGTCCCTTTAAATGTTGTGGTCGGGGCAATATTGCCGTAATGGTTAGATAACATATAATTAGTAATAATTATCATAGTTAATAACACCAGTCGGTTGTGGTGTGCCTGAACCGACAAGGCAGTAGGCCTGTAATAAAGAAGGCAAAAAGAAGTGTACCATACAAAATATATTCGTTCTACCATACCTCAAAATTACTTGGATAAGTCTATGCGTTGGGCCGATGACGTCGTCCTCCGAGTATGAGAGTACCTCCGGACCACTAGACTATGACATAGAGGACAAAAATCTACCATAGTGGGCACCTAGATCCCTAACAACCAGTACTATCTGCTACTAGGATCCAGATTATGGACCCAGCCAGATCAATGTTACATGAAAGGTGTGACGAAATGCCTTTTGTCACTGGAGTTTTAGGTGACAAGCTGCCCTTTGCCCCTGGCTGTTGGAGGAGCCTGATTGCCAGCCTCCTTCCTCATGACTATGGCCCCGGGGAGATTTTGCCCTTTAAAACATTATTTGGCCATATCGGATTTTATTTTACTACTTCTGGCCCTTTAAGAACTGTAGGGAAGGATTGGTACCATTTTAATTTAGTCGAACGCGGTCAGCGGTGTGTGCCCCTGAATCCATGGAACTAAAATCGTCTACACATTTGCACGCACACCGCTGACCCTGACCTCCTCCTCCACTTCGATGCTTCAGCTAAAGTTGAAGTGCGTTCGACAATTCGAACGCCATGTTACACTGTGCTATTTGCACGAACAGGGCCCGGGGATAGGGGATAGGTGATATGTGAGGGTTCTGTATAATATAATAACAATTATGTATTTTTATGTACTTTTACGTATTTTTGCTGTTAGTGTAAAATGTAGATATTTTCTGTACCTGGAGGTAATTGAGTTTACTACAGTGCCTTAAGCCAATTATCTCCAGGATGGAGAGGAGGGATTTCATTTTGTATGTGGGAGTGTTATTATGTTAGTGTTCCCATTGGTTTGTGTCCCTTTTGTCACAGTTTACCACCAGGTCCAGGGGGTGTGCCTCTGGCCTGAAAACTTGTATATAAAAGGAGTAATAAACGCTCATTGGAGTCAGATCATCTTGTACCTTCATGAAGTTACGGCTCATGTTTGGGGGATTGGAGAACTACACTCTGGGGATTGCTATAATCCCTATACTCCCCAGGGCATAATCACTAAGCTCTGCTAAGAGCTTGTTCCTGTTCCTGATCTCTGGAATTCGAATAGGTTGACCTACTGGAAGTTGAACCCTCGTCTTGGGTCCAGAGTGGGTGGAGACAGCGTAACCCTTAACCAAGCTGCAGCGGTTCGTGGGAGTCTACAGTGGTTATGGTGTCTGGCGGAGTGCATGGAGTCCTCGGGAAGCAGCCATTGATGCAGAGGTATTCTTTGCAGCATGATATGGTGCATTGTCATGCATGAAGATGATTTTATTACTGAAAGCATAGTTCTTCCTTCTGTACCAGGGAAGAAAGTGGTCAGTCAGAAACTCCACATACTTTGCAGAGGTCATCTTTACACCTTCGGGGACTCTAAAGGGGCCAACCAGCTCTCTTCCCATGATTCCGGCCCAAAACATGACTCCACCACCACCTTGCTGACATCGCAGCCTTGTTGGAACAGGATGGCCATCCACCAACCATCCACTACTCCATCCATCTGGAACATCCAGGGTTGCACGGCACTCATTAGTGAACAGGACTGTTTAAAAATTAGTCTTCATGTATTTTTCTGCGCAATGCAGCCGTTTCTGCTTGAGAGCATTGGTTAGTGGTGGCTGAAGGTTTATGCACAGTTGCAAGACTCTGGAGAACTCTACACCTTGATGTCCGTGGGACTCCAGAGGCACCAGCAGCTTCAAATATCTGTTTGCTTCCATGTAATGGTATTTTAGAAGTTGCTCTCTTGATCCGATGCATGGATCTGGCAGAAATCTTCCTCAATGTGCCTATTATCTACACGAACCCGTCTGTGCTCTGAATCAGTCATAAATCTCTTAATATTGCGATGATCACGCTTAAGTTTTCGTGAAATATGTTCATACCTCGTCCAAGGCATTCAACTATTTCACTCTTTTTGGCAGCAGAGAGATCCTTTTTCTTCCCCATTTGCATGAAAATGGTGCTCTGCTTAATAATGTGCAACATCCTCCTTTAGTAGTTTTTCCTTAAATTGGGCTCACCTGGCAATCTAATTATCACAGGTGTCCAAGATTGTTTTCAATGATCAAAAGAGCCCTGAGACACAATGCCATCCATGAGTTAAACTGAAAAAACAAAATATTTAACTTTTGTGACACTTAAATAGAATTTGCATAATAATTTGGAACACATATATATATACACACACACACCTCATGTATCAAAATAGAAAACAAACAATGGAGGGGTTAACAATTACACACAATTTGGGAATATTTCACACACAGAACTAAAAGTTCTGACTTTTTAAACGCACTAGAGGTTTGACCAATAAACAGACTGGTGATGGCAAACCTACCAGCTGGCTGAGAACCGAGAGTGCTTGATCCCATACCAGCCGAGCTCCATGCAAGTGGCAGACCCCATACCAGTCGGCTGAGCAACATGTGAGCGGCAGACACCAAGCCAGCTGACTGAGCACCATGAGAGCGGCAGACCACATACCAGCTAGTAGAGCATCATGTGAGTGGTAGACATCCAGGCAGGGGTTCCAGAGGTCAGCCATGGTAGGTAGTGGACCCAGGGAGCTGTAGGCGACAGCAGCCTACGTGTCAGCAGTGTGCTATGCATGGCCCCGGCTCGGTGGGTACTTACTGCCGGTGTGTGGGGAGTCTCAGCAGCTGGCAACAGGTGCAGCTGGGGTGCTGGGGGAAACCCGAGCCCCTGGTCCAGATGGTGAGCAGAGAAGCACCCATCAGGCAAATTCACTGTGTAGCGATCAGACCTCGTGGAAAAGACAGGCACCCGGCAGCAGCAGGACCTCCGTGAAGCGATGGTAAAGGTAAACCACTTGGGAGGTGAAGTTCAGTGGTCGGCAAACGTGAAGCAAAATAGACAGCAAGCCAGGAGACCGGACCACGATGATACAGGTAAGTTCAACCACGGTAAAGTGGGAGAGGATTGGATGCCCTTATAAAGGGGACCCAAGCCCCTCCCACAACTACAGGCCCAGCCTTAGATATAATAAAATTACCCACCCAATGAATGTTACCTCTGAACAGGGGCCCGCTCGACAGGGTGTGTATCAATTCCCTTCAGCAGGCAGATTACTAAGAACACAGCCGCACAGGAGGGAGGAGGAGGCTGGAGCACACAGGCAGCAGGGAGGCAAGGAGAGGCTGGAGTGTGCAGCTACAGGTTTACTCCCAACAGCCTCAGCCAGGACACAAAGTAAGCTAAGGGTGGCTGATGGTCAAATCATTATGCCTTGTGTGTATATGTGCTAGTGTGTGTATAAATGAGCAAGTGTGTGTTTGTGTGTCAGTGAGTGTATCTAAGTGTGTGCATATACCAGTCTGTATATCTGTGTGTATTTGAGGGTGTGTGTATCTGTATGGCAGTGTGTATCTGTGTGTGTGTGTGTGTATGTGCCAGTGTGTGTATCTGTGTATATGTGCAAGTGTTTGTCTGTGACACTGCATGTATGTGACAGTGTCCGTATCTGTGTGTCAGTTTCCATATCTGTGTGTCAAGGTGTGTGCATGAGTCCGTGTGTTAATTGTGTGTGTAAATAGTTGTAATATGTAATTAAGTGTGTTCTGTCATTATAAAATATAGCTTGCAAGCTTGACAAAGGCCCTGTTGTGGGCTGGAACGTTGTTTCTATTTTGCTGGA